GAGAGAGACAGAGACAGAGAGAGACAGAGAGAGACAGAGACAGAGAGAGACAGAGAGAGACAGAGACAGAGAGACAGAGAGAGAGACACAGACAGAGAGAGACACAGACAGAGAGAGAGACAGAGAGAGAGACACAGACAGAGAGAGACAGAGAGAGACAGAGAGACACAGACAGAGAGAGACAGAGAGAGAGAGACAGAGAGAGAGAAACAGAGAGAGAGAAACAGAAAGAAACAAAGAGAGACAGAGAGAGACAGAGACAGAGAGAGACAGAGAGAGAGACACAGAGAGAGACAGAGAGACAGAGACAGAGAGAGACAGAGAGAGACAGAGACAGAGAGAGACACAGACAGAGAGAGACAGAGAGAGAGACACAGACAGAGAGAGACAGAGAGAGACAGAGAGACACAGACAGAGAGAGACAGAGAGAGAGAGACAGAGAGAGAGAAACAGAGAGAGAGAAACAGAAAGAAACAGAGAGAGACAGAGAGAGACAGAGACAGAGAGAGACAGAGAGAGAGACACAGAGAGAGACACAGAGAGAGACAGAGAGAGACAGAGACAGAGAGAGACAGAGAGAGACAGAGAGAGAGACAGAGAGAGAGACACAGACAGAGAGAGACAGAGAGAGAGACAGAGAGAGACAGAGACAGAGGCAGAGAGAGACAGAGAGAGAGACAGAGAGAGAGAGAGACAGACAGAGACAGAGAGAGATAGAGAGAGAGAGACAGATAGAGAGAGAGACGGAGAGAGACAGAGAGAGAGGTGGAGCCTGGGCCGTCCATCAGCCCTCAGATGGAGAGTCAACATCCCCCAGGTCTGGAGGAGGTGATGAGGAAGAGGAGGAAAAGCTGTGCCCAGTGCCTGACGCACAGATGCACAGAAAGCAGAGGAGAGGAGAGCAGTGGAAATCTATGGGCCGGTCCTTGGGACAGAAGAGCCACCGCTGCTAGCGCATGCACATCGCCCAGTGTTCTTCTGGTTTCCGGCGTGCATAAGCACCGGCCAGCTTGGCTTTGCACATGTGGAAACCCAAAGACCATCTGGCCGGCGTGCATGCATATTCTGGCTACCCTATCTTCACGCGGGCCCGAGCACTGGAACCCCGAAAACTAGCTGACCGGTGCACATGCATTTCCTGCGCTCCGGCGTTTGTTCCGGTATGGGTACTTGGTACCGAAAAGATTCACCATCGTTGCCTTAAAGCAAATCGTCCCGTCTGAAGAGAAACGTGAGTGGAAAGGAGTGGTTTTAGTCGGATTGCATCAACGAGAGTCTTTCGAATACCAAGAAGTGCTCACCTGTAAGGAGTATTTCAGTCGGTTTCCCGGGCTGGCCATTGCGGCTAGAATGGCTGTTGTGGTTGTCCCAATATTCGACCCCAAAGTTAGGGGGTAGGCCCGCTCTATACTTATAACCCCGATTCCTGATGGGAAGAAAAGGGGAGAAATTGCATTGTTTGATGGTAAGTCTACACTAGTGGTTGCCAAACTTGGCAACTTTAAGACTTGTGGACTTCAACTCCCAGAATTCTCCAGCCAGCTCTGCAGAGCTGGCTGGAGAATTCTGGGAGTTGAAGTCNAGAGAGAGAGAGAGAGATAATTTCTTTAACACACACCTCAACCGGCACTTATTCACGGTTTTAGAAAATTGGTTTGGTTGAACAGATCTGTGTGGTACACACTATATTACATTATGTTACAATGGCGTAGTAGGCCTGAACTCTCCAAAACATGGGATTGAGGGGATATGGTTTTAAAGCTCTTGCTGAAAACCTGATCCAGCTAGTGATCTACTATACGATATAGCCCATGGCCAGATGTCCTACTTGTGGGTCTACTGATGCTGAGAACGCGGAGTAGATCGGACTTCTACAGGACTGCAAATGAGAGAGCCTTAGCAGTGATGGGCAGAAGCACTGTTGACTCATAGATCTCTTAAAAAAAAGAACAAGTGGAGTACTTGTCCACAGGGAGTCTCCTTAGTGTGGAGACAAGTAGAGGACTTTGCTTTTTCCATGACGTGAGCAGGTGTGAGGTAAAGCCTTAACCTTACCGGTGATTTGAATGCGTGTCTTGAGATTCAGACACGACTTAAGGGTTCTTGACAATTGTGGTTGCCCATCCCTGGTTGAATCTTCTCACTGAGCGCAAGTCACTGGCCCCGCGTTCCCCGTTTCCCCCTCTAGGCATGCCCCTCAAACGTTCCGTCCTTGGGCCTCAACGTCCCCCTCTCTGCTACAACGCCGTGGTGCTCAAGTCTGCTTTCTCTGCTTTCGCGGCCTTGGGAAGACAGTTCTCTTCGTCGGCCAGCGATACGGGGTTCTCGTGAACTTCCAACGCTTTCGTGTCCTTGGTTTCCTCGCTCGGGTCAGCCTCCTTGTTTCGACAACGTTTGCAGCAGCAGCAGCAATACCTGCCACAGACGCCGCCCGCGGCGGTTATGGCATCATCCCAGGGCCGCAAGGAATGCATCCACCGGGGAAGGAAATCCCAGCTCCGCAGCTTCTCCGGGAGCAGGTGTGGCTTCTTCTTCTGCAGGAGGTGGACGGTGAGCACGAAGATCAAGACCAAGAAGACGGGGACAGCCACGCCCACCAGGTAGGGCCAACCGGCCACCGAAAGGCCGAACACGGCCAACGGGATCAGGAAGAAGCAGGTGAGGAGGTAGAAAATGGCGAACCATCGGTACTTGGCGGTGATATTCCCCAGACCTTTTGACAAGCGGATGGGGATACGCATAAAAGGAACCGGGTACCAAAGGATGATCCCTGAGATATTGAAAAAGAAATGGCACAGAGCGATCTGGAAATGAAACAGAGGATACGTCAGAGGAACATCAAGATGGCGCACTGCCGGTACATACCGTACAATCATCTCTTGTTTTCTTCTCTGACACTGAAACCACCCCTGACTTATTCCGGATTGTATAAATATATCTCGGTTCTCTGCTACACATCTCCCAATTCAAAGGAAAAGAAGCCATGCCAGTGTTATCACCTCGGCTTCCTGAGAGCATGAAGCAAACTTCTGGTCCCAACAAAAACCCCTTTTATTCATTGACTGTGAATTCTGCTCATTCCCATCCAGCTAAGTCTTTCAAGGGATGATTTACGGTCACAGACCTTATCTGGCTTGGAGAGCTGCCAGGCCGATCTCTGCAGAACTTGGCAAGGACTCTCGGAGAGTCACGAACCAATTAAGGGAACTAATTGTCTCCTGCAAACTCCACTCCCTTTTCGTTGCTCTTTTATTCCCTCTGGGAGGGGCCATTCACCGTCCACCTGTGGACTTACTCCCAAGTCGACCCCTGTTCTTTAGCTGTTCCCTTC